AAACTTGTTCGCTTCAGCTTTCAGCTTATATTTTTTAAATCCAACTTTTGTTTAGCCGACCCCGGTGTAGGGTGCAGTTACATCTGCTTTCAAACTTGTACATACTAGTACAAAAAAAATCTGTAAGGGACTAATAAGGGAGACAAACTAAATTATTTTTTTGAAGCACGAATCGATCTTATATTTTCCCGCCGGATTGTGAAGAGTTGCGTCCTTCTCTTTGCACGGTGCAAGGGGAGGGGAGGGCTGGCAAGACTTACAGGAAGAGAGGTTCATTATGGAGGTTCACAGCCAACTACACAGTGTAATCCGCTCCCCGAGACATCACAGTCGGCGTTGTTGCGAAAACGCACGGAAATAACCCTTAACCCGAGCTAGCTTAGCTGGAATAGTCCATGTATCAGCTACGACTAGTTTTTGCTCGGCCATCTTTTCAAGTTATAGCAGTCAAATGAACAGTTCTGCTGGGTCAGATGAGACGGTTTTCTAACCAAAACCTCTCTGAGATTGAGCAAAAATAGCGAATTTTATTTTGTGTTTTTCGTTGGCTCATCCTCATAATAACATCAAACATTATCGTCCCACTTCCACCCCCAGAATCGTTTTCTCTGCAGTCGTGCGAGAGGAGACATGTGTACCACAAGAGAATAGAGCCCTTCGCTCGTCCTTGGAGCCGAAAACCAGCGGCAAAAATAATGTAAAACCGTGGAGGGAGCGTCTTCCAGTAAGCAGGTCATGTTGCAGAAGTGGAGGCGTGTGGCACGGCGTGGCGCGGCGCGGCGTCGCACCCACGAGCAGCGACCCAGGCGTTTCTTTGTTGTTTCGCAGTTGCATATCAGAACTCATTCCGCGAAGGCAGACGAGACGGGGAGGCGGGCGGACGGGCGGGCGGGCAGGCGGAGACAGTCAGACTCGGGCCGCCGTGCCGCTGTTTCCAAACCCCTCCCTTCCAGCGGTGCGGTAAGTCTCAGCCAGGAAGGCGACACGGCGCGTATTTGATCATGTCAAACGCACGCAGAATTCGGCAGACACTTTGCAAGAAAGAGCCGGGGAAAATATTTGTCAGCTGTTTTGCGATTGTGCTCGAGTTTGCAACCGCACGTGTGTTCATGCGTGCGCCGATGAAACGTGTGTTCTCGAGAAAATTATGAATACCGCGCCTTCTAAAAGCGGGCATAAATTAATACCTTCCAGAGAGATGCACGCCTATTCCCGCGGCAACGCCGCCGAGAAGCAGCGGCACGCCGGCTGCGCCGCGACTTGAAGCGTTCGAAAGTCCGCGGCCAGAGCGTCGCGACGACAGGGGAGGGGGAGCGGGGATCCCTGCTTGGTCTGGAATCTCGAACGCGGCCCAGGCCGCAGGGATGCGGTTACTTAGATGCGGTGTTGTAATTGCGTCTCCACGTCCACAACAGTGTCATCTTAATATTTACTCTCGTTTTTTTGCCATGCACCTCGCTAACACTATTCACGAGCCTACGCGTCGTGATGCAATGGGTTCGTTGGCGGCATTTGGACGGATAAAAGGGCTCGAGCGAGCGCCTGCTTGCGGCGAACCATAGTGATAAAACTTGGATGTTATGGTAATGACACGAACCTTTACAAGCGAGAAATTGACTAATTATTCCCTGGTTTTCAATTTTAAAATTTCAAAAAAAAAAAATAATTAAAAAAAAATTATAAAACACTTTTACTGTACTAAATCGTCCGTAAGTTCTCCACATCCCTCTTATTCCACCACTCACCATCGCACTATCTCTCATGTTGGTACCAACATTGAAAATTGGCACCGGTTCTAATTTTCAAAGATGTTATTTTTGAAATTTATTTTGGATATTTGAACACCTCTATTGAGGCGTGACCATGACGTGAGCTCACTTTTCTTTGTTTTCCCAAAAATGACTCCCAGGATGCAACGCCGTACTGAACGTGCCGGTGTAAGTCTGTACGCTATGTGTAGCAGCATATCTCTTAATTTTCGTAAACTTCGAATTAACGCTAGAAGGGGTGCGAGTCAACCGCAGTGTGGCACAGGCCCGCTAACGAAGTCGTGGCAAACAAGCCGACGACACGACGGCGGAGCAAGTGACATCGCAAGTTCTGCTGGCACCTTCGCCGCGCGCGAGAGACACCCAGAGAAATAAACAGCAACTGGCGTGTGCTTATCTGAGGGAGGGACAACAATGAAGAGACAATCATTGAGGTTCGCGGTTTCTCACAACCATGTTTCTCACACCACGTGATTGTTGTCTGAACCATTACTTTATGGTTGTCCCTGAGCTGACCATGGTTATCACAGACAATATTTTTGGACTGCAGTGTACGACCAGCTGCCCTGCCCTCCAGGAACCTTGACACGAAGAGAGGATGGGACAACTACCTTTTCCGTAAAAAAAATATATCTTTATTATTTACATGCAGGCCGTGGGATGGCCGGTGCAGATCAGTCTTCAAATCCAAAACGACGGGCTCACGCCGCTTTCTTCATTGGCTCGACGGCTCCGACGCGAGAGTCCGCCGACGTGGGCTCCTCGGCCTGCTCCCCGATGATCGGCCTGAAGCCGTTCTCGTCCGCCACATACCTTAGCGCCACAGAGAGACAAACGCATCGTTAGGAAAGGCAAATTCACAAACACCGCAGCAATTTCTCACCAACAAATGAACATGACACGTTTCTGACCTCAGGCTGAAGTAGGTGCCGTCCGGGGCGGTGTAGCTGTAGCCACCGCTCACAGAGTTGGCCACCCTGGTCCCCGGGGCACGCGCCTCCCCGCCGGCCTCGCCTCCCGGCTGCTCCTCCGCGGCCGGGACCTGCTTCAGGACGCCGGCCTCAGCTACGCGGACTCCGTCCGCAGTCTCGTAACTTTGTGACAACAGAGAAGAAAAGTTCCAAAGTGACGAAAAGAAATCTGTAATGCCCTGTGATAGTGCCATGTGTACATACCTGTACATGTAGCTTCCGTCCGGATACATTTGGATCGTTTTCTCGACGATGGTTGGGGGGCCGCTAGGACCTGCGGGCCTGCTTGCGCACGGCACGCCGGTGTCAAAGTGCTGCCTCGGCGGCAACGCCCCCTGAGCAACCTGGGCGCCACCCTGAGCGGCGTCCCACCCGGTGGCAGCCTGTGCGCCAGCCTGCGCCGATAGGCGGGGACCTCCAAACTGCTGAGGGACTCCCTGGAAGGAGGGCGAGGACGAAAAATCGGGCATGTCCGCAGCCGGAAGTGGATAGACCACTGAGGAAACCTGGGGTTGAGCTGGTGGATCGGAGAAAATTGGTCGATTTTCTGCCTGTTGGGCAGCTGTGCCCCACGCTGACTCGGGTTCAGTCGGTGCAAAGGGCCTCGGCACAGTCTGAGGGTTCTGCTCGGGAGAGCCCTCGCCGGCTGAAATTGTCATCTGCTGAGAAAGGCCCTGAGGGGCCTGCTGAGCAGCTGTGTCCTGTGAGACGTGGAGGGGGGAAGTCACCGACTCCAGTTCTGATGGCGAGGGAACGTCAATGGAGATGACCTGCTGAGCTGCTGCCGGCGGGGGCTGCTGACGGGGTGTGTCCGGCTCCTGTGGGGTCTGCGACGGCACGCCGACGGACACGACCGCCGGCTGCAGGACCACGGCCGGCTGCAGGACGCTCATCGCATTGTCCTGGTTGTCAGGAAGCACGATATCAACGTGCGCGTCCAGGGTGGGCGCCAGAATGTTGCTGACGGCAGCCTCGGGGACCAGGATGGGGACCACGGGCACGACGGGGACAGAGGCGGGGGCGGGGGTTGTGGTCACGGGCGCTTCCGACGAGCTGTGCACCGTGTAGATCTGGAGGACCTTCTGCCCGACGGGGCTAGGGGCATCAGATGGCGCGCTGGGAGCGCCGCTGCTCACCATCGGGTCCTGTGGGGCGCCGCTGCTCACCATCGGCTCCTGCGGGGCGTCGCCGCTCATCCCCTGGCTCGGCGTCGAGGCGGCGAGCGGCACCAGGAAGGTCACCGGCACGCCGTCCTCTCGCTGCGGCAGCGGCTCGACGATCTGGCGCGCGCGGCGCACGGGCAGCTCGCCCAGGATGGACTCGTCGATGGGGGCCTCCAGCAGAGTCTTGACAACCTGGGCGTCCGACGGGGCGTCGCGGCGCGCCCGGGCCGAGCGGCCCACGCGGAAGCCGGAGAAGTCCGAGAGCACGTAGCCGTCGAACCGTCCGCGCTGCGGGGAGCGCCTCGGTCGCGAGGGTGCGGCGCCGGTTTCCAGCGAGCCCTGGGATTCTATCGACGCAGATTCGGAACGGATCGTGCGCTTTTTGTGGTCCTCGCTGGAGCTGCTGGCGCTGCTGGAACTGCTGGAACTGCTTGAGCTGCTGGAAGATGAGTCCGATGAGTCCGAACTGCTGCTACTGCTGCTGCTTATGTCCGGGTTCTGTACTATGGCGTAGAGAACGGCGGCCGAGCTGCTGGGAGCGCTGCTGTCACCCGCTGCGCTGGTCGCAACGGTGCTGGTCAGCAAGATGGTGACGGTTGCTGGCTCCTGCGGCTCAGCGGCAACAGTTGGTTTGTCATTGCTGACCTGCATGCCCGACAGGGTCGACGCCGTCGAGGGCAGAGCCTCCTCGCCGGCAGGCTTGTCCGCGACATCCGACGAACTCTCGACGGCATCGCCACTTGCGGTCGAGCTGTCCGAGCTGCTGCTGCTGCTGCTGGGCGAGGTGGTGATGACGGCATGCTCTGCCTCCGTGACGCTGGACAAGCCTGGCGAGGCCTCCGTCACACTGGGCAAGCCCGTCGAGGCTTCCATCGTGTTGTCACCCTCCCGCCGCTGCCTCAGGTAGTCTGGCTCGTCGTCACTGCCCGGGACCGAAAAAATATCCTTGTCCGCCTGTCGGCGCGCGCGATCATCGCTCCTGGCCCACAACATCACCGGCTCATCATCATCATCCGCGATGCCCTCCTGGACGACCTTATCGTCGGTCTGCCTTCTCGCCCTGCTGTTGCCCCGCGCCCAGGACGGCAACTTGGGGTCATCGAGGTCACGATACACGTCGTCGTCGTGGTCCTCGTCGTCATCGTCGGGGCTACGTTTCCTTCGGCTCGGCGCGTCGTCCTGCTCGACGTCGTCCTCGTCGTCCTCCTCAGGGTACGCGTCGTCCGCACGCCTCTCGCGGGGCGCTGTGAAGTGGGCCCCGTCCACGTCGGCCGCCTGCTGGCCGCTGCCCTCGCGCTCCCTGGCCGCGACCTCACCAGTCAAGATGTCCGAGGACGTGTCCGAGGACGTGTCCTCCCGGCGCAGGCGGTGCTCGTCCTCCACGTCAGAGGTCTGCCCGAAGGGAGAAACGAGCCCGGGTCTCGTTTGCCGCCTGAAGCGCTCCACCGCACCGTCACCATCCGCGTAGTCGAACCCGTTGGCGGAGAAGTCCTGGTCCAGGGCCGACTGCCGCGCCGACCTCCGCTTCACCCCGGAGCCGCTGAACATCCCGATGGCCAGGGCGGGCTCGTTGGGGTACGGCGATGGGCTGTCCTGGACGCCGGGGCTGCGGCCGGCGGGCAGCGCCGACACCGCCACCAGCGCCAGCGCAACCTGCTGCAGTCACATTGAACGGTTAGTATGCACAACAATTGGAATCAAGTGCTTAGCTGAAATAAATTATTGGTCACTCCTAGGCCGGGCCCCGGGCCGAGTATATTTGCAATAGCCTTAAAGAAAGCGATATTTTTACTTGGGCAGATAACAAAAGTAATTATTTACAACGATCATTTTTCCTCAATAAACAAAAATAAGATGAAGGATCAAAAACCAGGTCCAAGGAGTAAGACCCACTTCCCAAATCAGATGCTGTTATCTCGTGTTGTCTCTTACCAACAGGATCCCCAGCATGCTCGTGTGCGGTGGGTCCACGAGCCCGCTGCACTCGCTGGCACTGACCGCTGCTCGGGGGTGGGACCTTCTTATACCGGACCCCCCGCGTCGCCCGAAAGTCGCGCCCTGGTGACAATCGAAGTGGCCTCTGAGTCGCCCCGCCGCGCCGGCCGCCCTGGCCTCGCCATGTGACGCGCACCCCGCTGCGTAATCACTTTCAAACACGAGCAGGTCGAGAGCGCCTTAAGCACCGACTCCGCAATGACGTCCTTCTCTGGGGCGATGCGGAGGTTCGCGGCCGCGCCCGCCGCTTAGGCAGCCCATCCTACGGCCTGGTGTGGAGGGGCGCCGGTGCGCCGGGGTCGCCGGGGTGTCCCAGCAGCAGCACAGCAGACGCAGGTTCGACTTGTGCCTTTAGCAGCGTGCTGTCAAGTTCATTGAGCAAGAGCTACAAAGTCGTCACACGCCATGCAGTCGGTCACACAAAACGAAATGTGGCGCCATACTACTACTGCTGGAAAGCAATTTGAGGAAGCATTTAGCAACACTAGGAAGCGTCGAATTTCTATAATGAGCTATAGCTATATTTTACGGGGAACAAGGGGGCGAGTGGAGCGAGGTATTTAATACAGTCTTCACCTGGACCAGCACAAACCCTGCGCCAATCAGAGGCGTGCTTCTGGGGCTGGTCACGAGGAGTCCCCCTCTGATAGGCTTTGTGATGGTGGGATAACACCTTTTGAAGTCGGAGTAAGAAGGTACAAGGCGATATCCCTCGTCTCCCTCTTTTTTTATAAAATATTCGATTCCCCCTATTTGAAGCGATATCGGTGCGGGTAGAGGTAGGTCATGGTTACAACACTTCCGTGTGGTGTGTTATACAACCCCACTGGCGACGCCGCGCCGCGCCGAAAGACGCGCCGCCCGAGCTTTAAATGCAATGACATTGTCTTCCCACTCACCCGGCGGCTGCGTCCGCAGCGGCAGCGTTAGCAGGGGGGCCGCCGCCCTAATGCATTCCGATTGGCCGCGAAAAAGGGGGAGCCGCGGCGGCGCGGCGGCAATAAGAGACCCCCTCGCGACGCGTTCGAATAGCGCGCCAGTCGGCGGCGGCTCCCCATTGGCCGAGGGGCGCAGCAGACGACGCGGCGGTAATTAAACCGCAATCAGTGCGCCACCTGCTGGGCCCGGCAGAAATGAAGCCACGCACGCGCCTCTGGTGCGCCTCTGGTGCGCCGCTGCGCCGCGAGCAGCTCTGCTGTCTGCGAACAATAAAGACAAGAATATTAAGAATGAGGCGGCTCGCGCGCCGAGCTCACGCGGGGCTTAGCCAACGTCACTTACACACCCTTTCTCCGCCACAACCATTCATCTCCGGCGGAGCGGGTCACATACTCGTGCAACGCAAAGGGGGGAGCCGCGGGCAGGCCGCGCTGACGACGAAAATGTAACACGGCAGAGAGGATGCGACGTGACGTGGGGCGTTTCTCTATTATGGTTGCAGCCTACCAACGAGACTTTTTCAAAGAGAACTGCTCAGTGTCCATAAGCTGAACACGTCATTTGTATCGCAAGCAGATCTCTCCTAAATACGGACGAAGGGGTCGAAAATCTCGAATATGTTTGTGGACTGTCCTTTCAGGACTTGATAGCTTAAACTGAAACCTTTATTGTGAACCAGCCCAGCTGACTCCATGCATGTGTGGTGGTCCCCTATGCTGAACTCCGTTTGTATGGGGCTGCCTAAACCAAGTGTCTGGATGGGGCACCCGCCACGAACTCCGTGCGTGCTTAAGGCTCCAAGTTCCGAGGTGCGCCGTCCTCGTGTCAGACACGGGACACGGTCTTTCTCGCTACTTCCGGTACGGTCTGGATTTAGAGGACCACTGAGAGAGAGGGCCGGGGAGGCCACCGGCAGCGTCCCGCCCCGCGCAGCGCCCCGCGCGCACCCTGAGGACGCGGTCCACACGACGCCCCAGCCAAACTCGGACCACTCGGACCGAGGGGGCTAATTTGGCGCCGGTCCGCTGGCGTCCCTAACTGCAAGGTCGCGTCGCCATGAACTTTGGCAGTGCGTGCGCGCCCAGCGGGCCCAGTGCCCCGCCGCACGCCGAGCGTGTCCGACCGGGGCCTACCTCAACAGTCTGTGCAAATGTTTTGCACTGTTCATTTGGTTGTTGTAATGTTTTGAAGCTTTACGCATTTTTCCAGAGCAAAACTTAAATGCGTAGCGAAAAAAAACATAGGCCACACACAAAAAAGAAAGAGAGAGAGAGAGTGTATATTATGGGGCCGATGATGAGTGCGAGCGAGAAAGCGGCAGCAGACAGCAGCGCTCGGTGCAACAGGTCGCCGCTCCGTCTAATCGTTGCGCTATTCATTTTTACAGCTGCCACACAAAAGTGAGGTGAGCGGGCTGCCGCTGCCGCCACGCGGGCGGCTGCCGACCGTAACGCGCGCGCTCGCGCACTCACACACACACACGCGCGAGCGGGGGGACTGGGCCACCCAAATCGAAGAGACCATAGAAGTCAGGCACCAGCACCAGCAGCAGCACCTGCTGCACTGCTGCAGCCTGGGCGGGCCATAAGTGTTGCCTAGTACCTTTACAGCCTCCCCGACCCGCCCGGCTGCTCTTGGCCGGGCCTCTTATTGAGAGAAAGGTCACGATGAACACGCCGTGATAGTGGCGATGGATGCGGATAATGATGACGACGCTCGCCCAGTAAAATAATTTTCCGCAGCCTAATCCTTTTGTTTTGCCGATAGGTCGCCCAACGCGGCGTCGGCGGCGGGCCACCATCGGCGTTGGGCCACGCGGTCCCACCCACTGCACCTGCCGCTGCTGCAGGCTGCAGTCAGGTGATGCACAGGATCGATGTTGCTCCCCCAGGACAGAGAGTGATGCATGAAAAGTTAAAATTAGGGCGAAGCGGTAATGAAGGAGTTAGCTAACTGCATTTTACAGGTTTTACTACAATCATCAAACAACAAACATCAGACATCATCATTAAGCATCATTAGACATCATCAATCATCAGTAGTAAAGGTAACCTTACCTAATAACATCATCACATCACACATCATCAAACATTATCAGACATTATTAAACACAATTTTAACCTTATTCAACATCATCAAACCCTTCTATATGTTGTGGACTGTTGGCACCACTGAACATGTATCATGCAGGGCCGTGACTCCCTATAAAGTCACGTGATTTAGTACGAATAAACCTCTTGTTGATCTGAACTCCAAGCTGTCATCTGTCATTCACCTGCTCCCGACCAGACACGACACTATAAACCACTCATTTGCCTTGGTGTCTAATAACTCAAAAACCTAAAATATTTAAAATGTTTGACAAACTTTTACGAGGGCATAAAAACTATTTTTTCTATAAATCCCAAATAAGTTCACAACGCTCTCGTTAATAAAAAGATAAATAACACTTTTGTGCCTGTTCTAATCACGCCATCCCCTTATCACTGTGAAAAATTGTCGTACCGGGTACAGGAAAATTTTCCATGGAAGAAGTCGTACAAGTACAATCTAAAATTGTACAATTTACTAGCCCTATGTATCGACTTGGAATCGAATATCGAGCGACAACGGAAGGTTGTACATGTACGACTCGTATTGTAAATGGCAAATTACAAAATATATCGTACATGTACAAATATATTTCTCACAGTGACCTTGAGTGCACTAAGAGAAGGCGTGCCAATACAACAACGGCGACATGTCTCAGGCCGTGCATCTTTGGAGGGCGCATCGGGGCGCATATTATTCTTACTACCTGCTGTCTGGCCAGCGCAAAACAATCGTGCATCAGCTATACCGACCGGCGCTAGCTCATGTTCGCACCTATTCCATTAGGTCAGGACCCTGAGCAAATCTTCTCCGACAACCAGCCCCTCTATTGGCACTCTTGGCACTAAAATGGCACTGCATTCGCTGGCCGGCTCGCCGCGGGGCCGGGACAGCAGACCTGCCGGCCCGCTTCGCATCGGTCACCGGGCATGTGGGACGGGACGCCAATCAGATCGACTGTGTTTGACGCAACAACAAGACGATGCCGGGCCGGAACGTTGATTAAGGCATCACAGACAAAACGGCGCCGAGACGAGACGAGCGCCGAGGTGCGCGCCGCGGCGGGCCGAGCCGGGCCTAGAGACCCAGCACAACCACAAAGGAGGGGCTTTTCGAAAAGTCGCGTAATTCAGCATAAATTATGTCGAGGCGTGATGTCACTCATGACTGGATGGACCACAACGCACCCGCACTCACTCCTACGCCTTGCATCGTCAACTCGACCTTAAACCCCCAACGCCCGCCTCGCCGGGGGCGCGGGGCCCTTGGGCAACAAACAAGTCCTGCTGCCAAGGCCACCGCAACGCGCCGCCGCCGCCCAACCCACCCGTATTGCTCGTTCTGACAAAGTAGTGTGTACTTTACATCGACGGGGCATTTTCTTCAATCATCATCCCCTTCGACCTTTTTTGTCATATTTGTTAGGAAACATGTAAGGTATTGCATTTAGCAAACTAACGACGAGCTATCATACAACACGGGAGCACAAAAAACAAACTTATACGGGGTTCAAATGCAATTTGTCTATTATGAGTCCTAATCGAGCGTGTCCATCAGTGGCTGACGGATGGCCCGTGTCGCAAGGGGGGCCAGTACGCTCCACCCCAGCGCCCCGCCCCGCCGCGCCCACGGAGCCGGCGTAATGTGTAGCACTTTCCACCTGAGCTCGCCTAGTCAGCGCCTAATATGACGCAAACGCAAAACGGATACTTCAAAATCGCGACGTCTTCCCGCAAGCGGCACCAGCCGAAGACCACGTCCTTCAAAAACAGCAACTCCCGGTTTCAGAGAGAATGCTCTATGCTCTGAAATAGAACTAGCCTCTAGGGTCGGAGAGAGAGGGAGGGAGAGGGAGAG